ATTTTTTTGTATATTTAGGAGAGACAGGGTTTCACCGTGTTAGCCAGGATGGTCTCGATCTCCTGACCTCGTGATCCGCCCGCCTCAGACTCCCAAAGTGCTGGGATTACAGGCATGAGCCACCGCGCCAGGCCAATACAAAGTATTTTTATACAGTTATTCACAGATCTATTCATGCACTGTTTGGAGGGTATAAGCTACTTTATAGTGATTTATCACTTGTTAAGTTACAATGCTCGCCCACATGTGCAGTCCTTTTAAAGAAGACAGTTTTTCAGTCAAGGAAGGCATTCTGATCTGAGATTTAGACGCTAATGATTTTAGAAGGAGAGGGTTCTACGAGGTTTCCTATCAAACATAGTTACCTTGGATAGATTCCTTCCTAGCACTGTGAGCGTCACCAAGCCAGCACAACAGACCAAAGCACTGGAGCTGGAGAGGCCAGAACTTGGTGGGATATTTCCATCTACCAGGCAGTTCATTCCAGTCAGGTTACTAAGACCAAAGTGTTCCTAAGAATATAAGGAAAAACAGCAACAGTAATTCAGTATTGAATTCAACGAGTAGTGAAAGCTTCCTTCATTCCCCAGAGAACAAAAGTCTATCAATAGACTTATAATAGTTATAGAAACTACTTGCGCAATTCAATCGTGACATTTTATTTAACGACTCTTGGCCACAGGGTAATTCCTTTAAATGCCTTTAATTTTCTTGCCTTGAATGTTCTTTTTCTTGAATATTAATTGATTTGAATATGGAAAAAATATAAAATTGCTTTGAATGTTCTTTTTCTTGAGTATTAATTGATTTGAATATGGAAAAAATATAAAATTGCTTTGAATGTTCTTTTTCTTGAGTATTAATTGATTTGAACAAATAAGGAAAAAATATAAAACAATTATAATTCAACTTGCCAAGTAGCAAGACAAGAAATATACAATTATCTATGAGGTAATTTAAATCTCCGTGCAGCACATCTCCAGCATTCTGTTATTACAAAAGTCCAAGCCCCAAGCAGAGACTTGTTTCTAAAGAGTGCCTTACTTTAGAAGATTCTCTGAAAAAAAAGAGTTCCAAACTTTCTCAGTTCTGTTTTACTTATGAAAAAACCTAGGCACCAAGAGATGAAGACATTTTCCCAAGATGACCCACAGGGAGATGAGAGTAGGGCCCAGGTCTCTGATTCCTGTTTGAAAACTTCTCCATTGCAGTTAGAAACCTGAGCCAGCAAACTGTCATTGTGATTTAATATGCCAGCTAGATGAGAAAATCCAGATTTTTACTACAGTTTATAGATACAGTTTAGCCATATGGTAGCTTTAAAGACAGCGAAATCAGAATTCAGCCACAAATGAGAATACAGACCCTAAACAAGTCAAGGAAACTCTATTTCTACAAATAGGAAAGCCCAAAGAAATAATCAGATTCTGATTTAAATATGGAAAGCTCTAGCATACTTACACGAATTTCTAACACTAGGACACTTTGGAATGATATCGTATCATAACCTTTGTGGTTTAAGTTTACAAATAAATTCAAGTCTATCTCCTTCTCAAGAAAAAGTACCATAGTCTTTGCAAATTACTCAAATGACTAAAGATTAACATATGAAATACTATTACTTAATTAAGCATTTCATCTACATATTATACAAGGGAGAATTTCAATAAACTAGCTACAATAACTAAAATAACAACAAAATTCTGCAAATAAAATTTTTCCTTAATGTTTCATCTGTCTGTCCTAGCTAGCAAAACTCTCATACCACACTAAGAAGAAATTTAGCTGAGTATACTTCTCTTTCTGATTTCAAGTCATCTAAAAATTTCCTTCCAGAAATACAAATTATAAGCTGAAACTGTACTGTTGCCAATGCCCTTTCATACAGAATATCAGACAGTTTGTTTAAAAAAAAAAAAAAAACTTGAAGAATACAATATATTTAACTATAAACTGATCAAACATGGGTGTCTTGAGTGGGAATCATACTTAAGAACTTATCAGCCAGGTGTGGTGGCTCATGCCTGTAATCCCAGCACTTTGGGAGGCCAAGGTGGGTGGGTCATGAAATCAGGAGTTCAAGACCAGCCTGGCCAATATGGTGAAACCCCGTCTCTACTAAAAATATAAAAATCAGCTGGGCGCGGTGGCAGGCACCTGTAATCCCAGCTACTCGGGAGGCTGAGGCAGGAGAATTGCTTGAACCCAGGAGGCAGAGGTTGCAGTGAGCTGAGATCATGCCACTGCACTCCAGCCTGGGCCACAGAGCAAGACTCTATCTCAAAAAAAAAAAAAAAAAAAAGCACTTATCATGCAACGTTTAAATGAAAACGTGTAACAAATTCAAAATGCAAATGGGTATATGCCACATTCTGTAATAGCTCTATCCCAAAAGGATAACATGTTCAATTTAATATAAACGAATTATCCTCTGAAACTTTCTAGTATTTGAATCTGAAAGTTTCTGAACAGGCTAGCATTTAAATTATCTTTCTGCCAAAAGCTTATTGGATAAGTTTGCTTTTGCACATAAGTTGTCAAACCAAACAGGAAGGCTTTAAAACCTGAAATGCTCAAAAATAACACAAAGCAACATGCATTATTTAGGCCACTTTACCCATATGCTGCAAAAAGGCATGTTGTTACAAGGAAGATTAAAATTGCATTTGCCAGGCAAATGCTTCCAAATACTGTAATTCCTACTAATGTATATAAGCCAGATGATCTGAAGATTTGAAACCTGCCAATAACTTTTCCTGTAAGTTATTACCATGTGTCTGAGAGGAAGGAAAACACAAAAGAAAGAAAGAAATGAATTCATTAACTTTAAGAACAAAAACCACCACTGTTACAGTATAGAACTACACATTAGAAATAAATTTGATGTATTTCTGTAATGGACGTGCCACTAAGTCCTAGCTGTTCATTACAAAGTTTCAAATAGGACTGCCAGGCAGTAAGGAACACAAGCTCTCTAAAACACCGGTCAGTTTGTTTGTTTACTTTTAGCTCACAAAGGCAAAATTTACTGCTTATTGTCCTACCTGTGATTCTATACAAGTCACTATATCTAAAATAATTATTGCAATATAAAAGCGGCTCTAAAAACAGCAAATATCAATTTTCTTTTGGTCCTTGATACTTTTTCAACTATGAGAGAGAGTGAAAACATTTTATTTTCTTGTTCTTGTTCTAATGTAACATTAGACATTTTCAAAGTAATTATTCAATGTTTCTAGGAAAATACTTACACTAATACATTTCATTACGTCTTTTTTTAATCCCATCTGAAGTAGCAATAACAATACTAGCTACCATTTATTAAATGGCTACTATCAAGCCTTATGTAATTCTTTTAACAACTCTTCATCAGTTTAGCAATGACATCATTTTACAGATAAATCTGAGACTTAAGATGTTAAATTACCACAGCTGGGAAGAGCCCAGATTCAAACCTGGGCTGACTCTAAATCCTATTACAGTATACCCCTATATATCCCAAGTATACATGTAAATAATAGTACTAAAACATATCCTCAAAGGTATGTTTAAACAAAGATTTTAAAACCAGACAGATGTTTGTCAAATGCACCTATTTATGAAAAGCCAGCTATATGAAAACCACTACTGCCCCCTGTGAACACTACCCCAAAAACAGTCATATCTTCCCCACTCTCTGAAACGCAAACTAGCAAAATAGAACAGAAGCATCGGTTAGTACTGTAAGGAGATGAAAAAGATGTAGTAAATAAAATAAATCTGACAGAATACACATGATAATCTCAACTGGTAGTAAGTGTCTTATAAACCAATTTACCTGAATTCCTTTAAGTCCACATAAGAAATAGTTGTGCCACAAAGGCTTGGTTTTATCAATCTGAATGTTATTAGCACTAGTACTGAAGTCCCTGCGAAGACAAAAGACACCATTAATTTAAAATCTGTAGGCCTTGAGCTGCAAAATCAATGGCTGACTGCTGCCATCTTGTGCCAACATAGTGATACTGACTCTCCTTTCCCATTTATGTTCAAACTGTGTCTACAGCAAAACATCTCCAGCTGCTAAGAGTTAAGAGAGGAAGTTGTAGTGGCCTTAATGACTAAACTACCTCCAACTGACCCTTTTTATTTCCTGAAACAGAGAGGAAACAATATATTTTAGAGTAATCTGCAACTATTTTCTCTTTCATGTTGGTCCTTGTTAAACTGGTGTAAACCACATGAATGCTTATCCTCTGGGCCTGCTGTTTGGCACACCCTCAAACTGAAACAGGAGTACTCAAAGCCATCCCTGCCACCCATCCAATTTTACCATCTGTACAATTTAAGAAAAAAAACAAACAAACAAAATAATGATTCTGATGCGTAATCAATTTAACAAAATAAGATTCCATGAGTCTATACTAATGTAAGTTAACAAATAAATAAAAAGCTAAATGAAGAGGAAGGAAAAACTCTTTATTATGGTAAAATGCCAACTAATAGATATAGAAGAAATGATGTGACTAGAAAAGTCACTACACAGTAAACTTTATGATAATTTGTTTCAAGAAACAATTATCAATGGATGCTAAACTTTAAGAGAGCAAAAATGTGATGAGAAGTAAGATATTTACAGTATTTCCCCACCAGACACTTATGAACTACAATGGAAAAACATAGTATCTGCGCTGGGTGTTAGTGGCTCACACCTCTAATCTCAGCACTTTAGGAGGCTGAGGCAGGGGAATCATGAGGTCAGGAGTTTGAGATAAGCCTGGCCAATATGGTGGAATCCCATCTCTACTAAAAATAGAAAAATTAGCCGGGTGTGGTGGCACATGCCTATAGTCCCAGTTACTCCAGAGGCTGAGGCAGAATAATCACTTGAACCCGGGAGGTGAAGGTTGCAGTGAGCTGAGATCATGCCACTGCACTCCAGCCTGGGTGACAGAGCGAGATTCCATCTCAAAAAAAAAAAAAAAGTATCTGATATGGTTTGGCTGTGTCCCCACTCAAGTTGCATCTTGAATTGTAGCTCCCATAATTCTCACATGTTGTGGGAGGGACCCAATGGTAGGTAACTGAATCATGGGGGTGGGTCTTTCTTGTGCTTTTGTCATGATAGTGAATAAGTCTCATGAAATCTGATGGTTTTACAAACAGGAGTTCCCCTGCACATGCTCTCTTTGCCTGCTGCCATGTAAGATATGACTTTGCTCTTCATTTGCCTTCTGCCATGATTGTGAGGCTTCCCCCGCCATATTGAACTGCGAGTCAATTAAACCTTTTTCCTTTATAAATTACCCAGTCTTGGGTTTGTCTTTATTAACAGCATGAAAATGAACTAATATAGTATCTTTATGGTAGAAAGATCTGGCAGATGGCACCTTAATCAAAGGATCAAAATTAACACCACCAGTAAAGGGATGTTTTGTGCCTCCTTGATACAATGTACTAAGCATACATCCATGGAATGTGGCATTTCCTTATGCTAGTCTTGTGACTTCTTTGTAAGTCAAAAAAATACTTCAAAATGAAAAATAGATAAATAAATAGGCTCCTAAAATCAGTCAAAGAACAATGTATGTGAAATGGGAGAATCAATTAAAGAGGAGGAAATGAGGTAAAATTCCCCATATTGACTGAGTGCTCTAATATAATTAACTAAATATCTACTATATGCCAGTCATTGTAATAGAAGCCTTCCATGGATTATTTTAACTTAACAACATGGATACATTATCTCTTTCAAAATATATTAAATGACTAACCACTTAAGCACACAAAGCATGCATGGGAATATAAAGGTAAAAGGCAGAAGGCTTGCCTTTTAAAAGTTCATAATCTAGCCAAGATGATATGAACATAAATAACTACCAGACAGTAATGGCATGTGATAATAATACGGGGTGGGATATGTGGCTGAGAGAGTATTATTTCTAAAAGTCTGCATTTGATAGAGAGAGGATGTCTTCCTGGAGGCTCAGAGAGGATTAGTTGCTTTCCAAAAACGCAGTCTGACATCAGCTCATCACAATTTTCCTCTACTGTCACTCACAGAAGTTAAAATATGTTGCTCACAGTCAATAAGAGGTCACAGAATTTGAAAGCAGATAAAGTTATGTTAGCATATCTGACAGGTTCTGCTCCTAGTTAAGAGGACATCTTGAAAGTCACTAAGAAAACCAGAAAGAGATTCTGACGGTGAAATATGAACAGAACGGGTAGGCAGACATGAGGAGAAAAAGAGGAAAGTTCAAATAGTAGGAAGCTACATGAGCCACATTTCAGAAAGAACTATGATATAATTTGGATTTGCATCCCTGCCCAAACCTCATGCCAAGTTGTAATCCCCAGTGTTGGAAGTGGGACCTGGTGGGAGGTGATTGGATCATGCGAGTGGATTTCCCCCTTTGGTATTGTTTTCATGATAGAGCTCTCACTAGATCTGGTTGTTTAAAAAGTGTGTGGCACTTCCCACCTCTCTCTCTTCCTCCTGACTCTGGCCATGTAGACATGCCTACTTTCCTTTTGCCTTCCACCATGCTTGTAAGTTTCCTGAGGCCTCCCTAGCCATGCTTCCTGTAGAGCCTGTAGAACTGTGAGCCAATTAAACCTCTTTTCTTTATAAATTACCCAGTCTCAGGTATTTCTTTATAGCAGTGCAAGAATGAACTAATATGGAAAATTGGTAACAAGGAAAGGGGCATTGGTATAAAGATACCTGAAACTTTGAATTTGGGTGTGGAACTGGGTAACAGGTAGAGGTTGGACCAATTTGGAAGGCTCAGAAAAAGACAGGAAGATGAGGAAAATTTGTAACTTCCTAGTGACTTGTTGAATGGTTGTTTCCAAAATGCTGATAGTGATATGGACAAAGAAGTCCCAGCTAAGGAGGTCTCATATGAAAATGAGGAACTTCTTGGGAACTAATGTAAAGGTCATTTTGTTATGCATTAGCAAAGAGCCTGGAGGCATTGTGCCCCTGCTCTAGGGATATGTAGAACTTTGAACTTGAGAGTGATGATTTAGGATATCTGGCAGAAGAAATTTCTAAGCAGCAAAGCATTCAAGATATAGCCTGCTGCTTCTAACAACCTATGTTCATATGCATGAGCAAAGAAATTACCTGAAACTGAAACTTATATTTAAAAGGGAAGCAAAGTGTATGAGTTTGAAAAATTTGAAGCCTGGCCATGTGGTAGAAAAGAAAAGGCCTTTTTGGAGGAGTTCAAGCCAGCTACAGAAATTTGCATAAGTAAAGAACAGCCAAATGCTAATAGCCAAGACAAAGGGGAAAAGACCTCCAAGGCATTTCAGAAACCTTTGCAGCAGCTCCTTCCATCACAGGCATGGAGGTCTAAGAAGGAAGAATGGTTTCATGAACAGGGACCAGGGTCCCACTGCTCTGCACAGCCTCAAGACACTGCTCCCCACATCCTGGCCTCTCCGCTTCCAGGGGTGGCTAAAAGGACTCCAGATACAGCTCAGGCTGCTGCTTCAGGGGGTGCAAGCCATAAAACTTGGTGCTTCCACGAGGTGTTAAGCCTGCCAATGTTCAGAGTGCAAGAGTCAAGACTTGGGGAGCCTCTGCCTAGATTTCAGAGGATGTGTAGAAAAGCCTAAATGTCCAGGCAGAAGCCTGCTGCAGGAGCAGAGCCCTCATGGAGAATCTCTATCTCTACTAGGGCAGCGTGGAAGGGAAATCTGGGGTTGGATCCCCCACACAGAGTCCCCACTGGGGCACTACCCAGGGGAGCTGTGAGAAGAGGGCCATCATCTTTGAGACTGAAGAATGGTAGATCAACCCAGCAGCTTGCACCATGCACATGTAAAAGCCACACGTGCTTGAACACCAGCCCATGAAAGCAGCCTCAGGGGTTTTACTTTGCAAAGCCTCAGGGGTGGGGCTTCCAAAGGCCTTAGGAGCCCACCCCTTGCCCCAGTGTGCCCTGGAAGTGAGACGTGGGGTCAAAGGAGATTATTTGGAGCTTTAAGATGTAATGACTCCCTTGCTGGGTTTCGAACTTACATGCGGCCTGTAGCCCCTTTCTTTTGGCTAATTTCTCCCTTTTGGAAAAGAAGTATTTACCCAGTGCTTGTACCCTCATTGTATGTTGGAAGTAATAACTAACCCATTTTTTATTTTACAGGCTTATAGGCAGAAGGGACTTGCCTTGTCTCAGATAAGACTTTGGACTGTGGACTTGTGAGTTAATGCTGGAATGAGTTAAGACTCTGAGGACTGTTGAGAAGGCATGACTGAATTTTGGAATGTGAGGACACAAGACTTGGGAGGGGCCAGGGACAGAATAATATGGTTTGGATTTGTGTCCCTGCCCAAATCTCATGTCAAATTATAATCCCCAGTTTTGGAAGTGGGGCCTGGTAGAAAGTGATTGGATCACAGAGGTGGATTTCCCCCTTTGGTACTCTTCTCATGATACAGTTCTCACTTGACTTGGTTGTGTAAAAAGTGTGTAGCTGCCCCCAGCCCTCTTCCTCCTGCTCCACTCATGTAAGACATGCCTGCTTCTTTGCTTTCCACCATGTTTGTAAGTTGCCTGAGGCCTCCTCAGCCGTGCTTCCTGTACATCCTGCAGAGAATCACGGGCCAATTATACCTCTTTTATTTATAAAATTACCCAGTCTCAGGTATTTCTTTATAGCAGTGTGAGAACGGACTAATACAAATTGAAAAGTGCTAGCTCCCACAGAATTAGAAGTATAGCTTAAGTCTGTCAGAAAAAACAAACAAACAAAAAACTGCGTTTTGATTAGTTAATGATCTTTGCTCTTTTCCGCATCCCTGTCTCACCTCTCTGCCTAGCCTTTTCCTGAGATTCAAAACCAGATACTCATTTTCCCACCAAATCTCTACCCTGCATTACATTATCCATTTGCTTTCTCTACCCCCACTTCCATG